TTAGTTTCGTTAGGATAACGCATTGTCATCCGCGATTTGGCTCTTGTTGCCCGTCTTATACGTTAAATTTATATTCAAATTTTAATTTATGTAAGAATTTAAGTTCAAGATTTACTAATAAATTTGAATTTATTTTATCACACCTATTTGTTTGTTCGTAAGTTGATCTTATATTGTATTAATTGTTGTATTGCATATAACGAGCCTTTTTGCTTTTTGATTATAATATATGTCATCTTACTATAGAAAAAACATTTTTATAATTCGCATTTTATCTATTGAAAATAATTTTAATAGATGGTAATAATTCAATCGACCAACTCTGGCAAATAAGTATAATTTTATTGAATATTCATAACGTTTCGGCCGTGGATTTCGGCCCTTATCAAGTGCTATAATATAATATTAACAATTATTAGAAAAATAAAAATAAAAATAATAAAATATATAGAAACTTTCACACGTTAATACGCAAACATACTTATGTTCTTAAAACAAAGTAAATCACAACTTTTTTTAAAAAACAAAAATTCGATCTTAGAATACGACATCATATAATAACATAATAGTATAAAACGAAATAACTATGTTATCGTGTCGATTTCGAGCTCCTTATATATTCACTATTTTTATCAAACTAAACGATCTTTATTAGTTTTTCGTAAACATTATTTAGATTATCCGTGTCTTTTTGTAATTGTGTTGTCAAATTTTTTGATAAAAAACATCTCCGCGATTTCTCGTTTACTTAAGTATTTCTCATGATGTAAAATTTCTGGAGCAGACCAATCAAAATCATGACCATTATCCAATTTATGATTACTTATGACTGAGTAATTACTATTGTGTACTTTAAAATTATTAAAATGTTCTTTTATACGTGTGCCTAATTGTCGTTTAGTTTGACCAATATATGATGAGGAACAATTTGCGCAATTAATTTTATATACTACTCCTGTTTTTTCTTCTAAAGGTAAAGGATCTTTAACGCGTCTAATTAATGTATTTAATTTGTTCGGTATGCAGTAAACGCTTTGCATGCCAGTAAATTGTAATAATCTCGAAACATCCTCACTAAGTTCTTTGACATACGGTAATTGTATAATACGGTCAAATTTTTTACTAACTGAATTATCGTTATCCACATTGCGATCGTCATTATTTCGTGTCTTAAGCAATTTTAATCTATTATTCACAAACTTATTAATAATATCCGATGGAAAACAATTATTCGTCAATATCGATTTTACTTTAGAGATGTTCTTTTGATGAAAACAGTCGTCCGATAATAAAATTGCATGATCAACAAGACTAAAAATGGTATTTTTTTGTATTTAAAGGGATGATTAGAATAATAATTAATATATCTACCCGAGCAAGTGGATTTCATAAACCAAACAGTTAACAATCTATTATTGTCTGATCACAGTAGTGTTTAAAAAATTAATCGCGTTATTACTTTCAATTTCATGCGTAAATTTTAATCTCGGATGGTAATCATTAAAAGACAACACAATTTCATCAACACCCTTTAATGGGATGATCATGAAAATATCATCCACATATTTGTAAAACAACGAAGTTTTGAAACTCAACCTTTCCAGGCATTCCGTCTCTAGTCGTCCATCACTATATCCGCTAATATGGGTGAGAGCGGAGACCCCATAGGACTACCAAAAATCTGTTCATAGTACCGTCCGTTAAAAGTAAAACTTGTCGAATCCATAATGAACTCAATCACATATAAAAATTGGGAAATATTGAATTTTGTATTGGTTGAGATGTTCATTTAACGCTTTTTTACTCCGCTAATTACTAATTTTTTCGGGATAGTCGTAAATAAGGAAGTAACATCTAATGATATTAGTACTTCATCGTCATTAATTACTTTGTTCTTAATATTCTTGGCAAAAGACCAACCATCTTTAATAAACGATCTCGGTTTTTTAATAGAATTAATAAGTATATTATGGATGTAGTTCGACAAATTATATAACGTGCTACATAAAGACGATACTATAATTTGCAGTGAAAAGTCAACTTTGTGGATTTTCGGCAACCCGTGGTAAATTCCCGTTGGTTACGTTTAAATAATTGTAAGTAGTCACGTCTATCAATTTATTATCGAGCCAAGACTTAATGAGAGAATGCATTTTGTTAGTTAACTTTTTAACAGGATTTTTATTAATTCTTCTATAAGTCGATTCGCGTCATTTAATAATGTTTCTATTTTTTCTATGTAGTCAATTTTATTAAAGATCACCGTCGTTTGTCCTTTGTCAGCCTTTGTAACAATAATATCGTCGTTATCCTTTAATAGTTATTTTTTACACTATTTTATATCACAAGTGCGTTTAAAGTTTAAAAAAGAATTGCGGGGGGGTTCGGGGGGGGAGGGAGCCCCCCCAGAGTTGGAAAAAATGGTTACATACGGGGGGTTCGGGGGGGCTTTGCCCCCCCGAGTCAGAAGTGGGCGCAGGCGGGAAGGGAGGTGCAGGGACTCTGCCCCTCCTTCCGCTTTTGATAAAAGCAACGTTTATTACAGGAGCAAATATATGACAAATATATTGTGAGTTTGTGACATTTCTGCGAGATAAGTTAATATTGTGTTTTCCGAGAATGATTTCGTTTTTTAAATAATTGTCCACTGTATAATACTGTATAATACTTGCTATATGTATTTGTATATTTTTCTTTGGATTTTGAAGGTAAGAGATTTTCTATTGTGCTTTTTGCAATTTGTGTTATTTCTGGAGGTGTTAGTTGGTCGCTATCGGTTTCTGGTATGATTTTGTCACTCATTTTTTATTTTTTCTTAATAACTTGCAAATTTTTTTTATTTTTTACTTTACTGTGTATGTTCACAATGCCTTCACTATATGTACGTTCACTGGGAAGGTTATATACAAAAAAAAAGAACATGTGAGAAATAAAAAAACTCTAATGGAAAAGAGAAACACGATGATTGGGGAATAAGGAGACTGTGGGAAATGAGCTGTGCGGGAATGAGAAACTGTGCGGGAATGAGATATTACCGCACTGTTTCGAGTGGGAAATTCCTCGTGTATGGAATTGGTTATTTCTCGCACAGAAAACACTCGCGTAATGGGCCACTTTCCACGCACGTGTGATATAAAAAATTTTTTGACTCAGCAAAACATCTAAGAATATATTTATCTATATAATTAGTATGCCTCTGTGTACTTAAAAAATTCTGGATAGAAATAGCTACCGAAATCCTAGTTGTTTCACGTAAGTTAGAAGGGATCTTGTTAATATTCACTTCTAGGTTTTTAACAATCTCAAGTGCGGTATTAATCCGGTCTTTCTTAAAATATTATTGTATTAGTAAACCGAAATTATCGCTGAGGCTTAATAAGTCAAGTACATTATCCGGTATTTCTTTTTTAACTAAGATTAACACTCCACAACAAATTGTTAGATTTATCAATATGAATGAAAGGATTCACGAGTACATTATGTTTACGTAGCAATGCATTAAATTTGCTGATTAATTTGTTTTTAGTTATATGTTTAAAAACCAAAATTCTATTCCTGTTAAGTTCTAAAAAATTTGTGAGTAACTCTCGAGGTAATGAATCAAAAAGTCTGCGCTCAATATATGCTATTTTCTTGTGTAAATATTTCAAGTTAACATTAATGTCTTTTATCTCGAGTCTGAATAATCTAAATTTATAATGCTTAGTAGTGATACAAGGCGGGTTCTAACTCAAGGCCCCTGAGCGGGATGCGGGGCGAGGGGATATCTTGAGGGTGGGGGGATGACGTCACGCTGGACAGGGGTTTATGACTGCCCAAATTTAAAAAAGGGACACTCCAAAATTCATAAAACCCTTTTTTTGGGGACATTTTATTGTTCCGACATACGGAAGAGATTTGAGATTTTAGCGCCAACGTTGCGACGAACTGTCAAAATGTTATTTATAAGCGGTACGAGTGTAACAGCGCTGACGTTCGGCAGCTTTGTATCCTCGAGGAAAATCTCCCATAAACGGAAGAGAAATATCTTCCTTTTTTTTTTTTTTTTTTTTACAACACAACGTTCGGCTGCCTTACTTCTCCACACATAAAACGGCAACGCGAAACTATTTTTTGGGATACACCAAATGCTAAAAAAAAGGATACAGAATTAGGTGAAAATATATAAGGAGGATGAGAGCGCGTCAAGCCATAGTACGATTTTGAGAATGCATAGATGCAGTAGTGCAAAAGTTTAGTGATTACTTTCTTGTGTCAGTGGCATAATAGTGTTTAGTGATTACTTTCTTGCGTCAGTGGCATAATAGTGATTAAAAAGAAAAAAACATGGAAAACGCGGAGCATATTGAGCGCAATTTATTGAAGCAGTCCCGCCAAGTCGCCACCTTGGGCAAATGTTTAGAATGGTTGCAACAGTGCGACGAATTTATCGCACAACTTGAAAAATGCAACCGTGTCAAGCGTCCGCGACTCTCAATCGGACATAGACAATCTATGGTGGCTACAATAGTGCGACTCGAGGGTGTAAAGGTACGCTTGCAGAGACAATATATGTGTATTGGTGGTGAATACAGTGGCGGTGGCAATATCGACGACAACAATAACGTGCAAAGACTCGTTTGGCGCGAAATTGATACAACGTTCGAGAGTCGTATACTGACCGGTGCGGTAATTAATACAAACTACATCAAACCGCGACAATTTTTAGAAAATGCTAAAGACATTGTAATTGAGAACGTGCAAAATATGTTGCAGAGACACATCAGTGTGAAGGTGAACACTATATTTAATGGTGAGTTCGTATCTGGTGATAACCGTGCCAATAAAAGCGTCAATACGAGAAACTTTGAATTCTTTCGCACGTCTAATTTACGCGAGTGGTACAACGCCGCGTTATCGAGCCCACGCTAGCATCGCTAGAAGAGTTTCAGGAACGCGATAGCGGTTGGGCACTGTCGCGAATAATCGACTTAACTGTAAATATAAATAAGTACAATCCAATGCGCGCGGGATGTCGTATCAAATTACCGCGAAAAATTGTGACAAAGAGAGCGGTGGTTAATGTGCAATCAGCGGACAATGCGTGTTTCGCATGGTCAGTGGTGGCCGCTCTTTACCCTGCTGAAAGAAACACGGGTCGAGAATCCTCTTATCCACATTACACAACAGTGCTGAATCTCCAGAACATTGAGTTTCCAGTGACTATAAATCAAATTAAAAAGTTTGAACTTGCAAACGACATCTCCGTGAATGTGTACAGCATCAAGAACAACATTGTCCCGCTACGTCTTTCAGAGAAAAAAAAAGACAGACACGTCAATTTGTTGTACGTGCAAGACGAAAACAGCGTTGGACATTTCGCTTGTATAAAGAATTTATCTCGACTTGTCAGTGCGCAACTGAGTAAAAAGAAATGTAGAAGATATATCTGTGATCGGTACGTATATATTTATTAAACTAAAATTTAAAAATAATTTTTAATTAAAATTATAATTTTTTATTTTTACAGATGTTTACACTATTTCAATTCGGAAGACAAGTTGCAGACGCATACTGTAGACTATGGAAAATTAAATAACTGCGCTATCCGATTACCGAGCGATAAGGACAAGTGGCTCAGCTTCAACAACTACAACAGAAAGGAGCGGCTTCCGTTCGTGGTGTACGCCGATTTGGAATGCGTTTTGAAAAAGATGGAAGAAGAAAAAACATATCAACACCATCAAGTATTTAGCCTTGCTTACTATGTACATTGCTCGTACGACAATTCGTTATCTATATATAATTCCCGCCGTAGTGTCGATTGCGTGACGTGGTTTGCCGAAGAACTAAAAAATTTAGCAATACGTGTAAGCAATATTTTAAGTACAAACGTCCCCATGGTAAATTTAACATCTGACGAGTGGGCAAAACTTCGCAGCGCAACGCATTGTCACATATGCGAAAAACCGTTTGAGCAAGACGATGCACGCATTTGCGATCATTGCCATCTCACCAGACGGTACAGAGGTCCCGCACATTCAAATTGCAATTTAAATTATAAAGAATCTTTTTGTATTCCGATATTTCATAATCTGTCCGGTTACGATGCGCATTTCATTATCGAGGACATAGCCACAGCGTTCGAAGGGGTAATCGAATTACTTCCGATAACGAAAGAAAAATACATTTTATTCTCGAAAACTGTTAAATTGACGCAAGACAACAACTCAAAAAATCATATTAAATTACGTTTCATAGACTCATATAAATTTCTCAGTGCTAGTCTTGACAAATTGGCATCTTTTCTGAATAAAGACAAATTCAAAATTTTACAATCACAGTTTCAAAATTTACCTAGTGAAAAATTCGATCTTTTGACACGGAAAGGCGTCTTTCCATAAGAATATATAGACTGTATCGACAAATTGCAAGATGCATGTTTACCACCGCGCGAATCATTTTACAGTTCTTTAACCGGTGAAAAAGTATCCGAGAGTGATTATGCACATGCCGAGAACGTATGGAACCGATTCTCCCTTCGAACGCTAGGCGAATATAGTGATTTATATTTAAAAATTGATGTCTTGTTATTGGCAGACATATTTAAAAATTTTCGCGACAGTTGCATAAATAGTTATGGGCTTGACCCTACGTATTACTATACTCTTCCGGGATATACATGGGACGCCATGTTAAAATATACAAATATAAAATTCGAATTATTAATAGACATTGACATGGTTATGTTTATTGAACGGTATACGCGGCGGTCTTAGTCAATGTTCAGGTCGATACGCACATGCTAATAACAAGTACATGCAATCGTACGACCCATCGAAACCGTCATCCTACCTTATGTACTTAGATGTAAATAATTTGTACGAATGGGCAATGTGTCAACCATTGCCGTATGCCAATTTTCGATGGGTCGACAATGTATCGAATTTTGACATCTCATCTCTCGCACTCGATTCACCTACAGGTTATATCCTCGAAGTAGATTTAGAGTATCCGCAACATCTTCATGATGCACACATTGATCTACCGTTTTGTCCGACACGCGACAAGCCGCCCGGCAAACGGGAGTATAAGCTTCTCCCAACGCTTTACGATAAGAAGCGTTACGTGATACACTACCGCAATTTGCAGCAGTGCACGCGTGACGGGCTTCGCGTTACAAAAATATACCGCATACTACAATTTACTCAATCAGCATGGCTTAAAAATTATATCGAACTTAATACAGAGTTTAGAACACAAGCAAAAAATAATTTTGAAAAAATTTATATAAATTAATGAATAATGCGGTATTTGGCAAAACGATGGAAAATGTACGTAATCATGTGGATGTAAAATTATTAACAAAATGGGACGGACGATACAGCGCAGAGACAATGATCGCGAAACCCAATTTTCATAGTACAAGCATATTTTCGGAAAAGTTGGTTGCCATAGAATTACGAAAACTCGAGGTAAAACTATATAAACCAATCTATGTCGGCATGTGCATACTCGACATATCGAAAGTATGTCTTTATGAATTTCATCATGAATACATGTCACCGCTCTATCGTGACAAATGCCGGGTAATGTACACCGACACAGACAGTTTAATATACCACATTGAATGTGAAAACGTCTATGAAAATTTGAAGCGTGATATCACTCGATTCGATACAAGCGATTACGCTGTGGACAATGCGTACGGTATACCGCTTGAGAATAAAAAAGTGCCAGGTCTGATGAAAGATGAAAACAACGGCGCGATAATGACCGAATTCGTCGGCCTTAGAGCAAAAATGTATGCTTTGCGGGTCGATGGAAAAAAGACACTAAAAAGCAAAAGGTGTCAAAAGTAACGTCGTAGCGCGTAGTATAACATTCGACGATTATACACGTTGCCTTAATGACGAGATTGAAATGATACGACAACAATCTTGCATAAGATCAAAATTGCATAAAGTGTATACCATCCGCGAGACGAAAATTGCTCTAAGTTCCTACAATGACAAGCGGTATGTCGTACCTGATTCGACCGACACTTTACCATGGGGACATTACCGAATACCGTTGTAAATAAACTATATTTAATATATGTATTTCATATTTTTTATAAATATTGTAAGGAAAGGATGTATTAAAAATAAAAATTTAGTATATTTCCAATTTTTCATATATTTATTTTTATATATGTTGTACAGATTGTATATTTTTTATTTTTTTTATTTTTGATTAATTAATAAATACAATCTGTATGAATTAAATCATATTGTTCTTATGTATCCATGAATTGTGTGAATTGTCAAATCCCAACCATTTCACGTAAACCTCTCTTCGTCACCTCTCTTGCGCAGTACTTTTTCCACGAGATACACGTTCGGATAATTTGCACGATGCAGCTCATGCTCGTAAAACAATAGATTTCTTGCGATAATTCTCGAGTAGATAGCTCACGAGATAAGTACGCTGCACTTTTACAATTTTAAACACCTCGGTTGTCCAATTTGGCGTGTATCCCTTCTCGAAAAGTTGTTTGTACTTGCTAATGCGTACCTGGTTACCTACTTTGAACTTTGCCGGACCCGCGATTTTTACATGATTGTACACGGTAGCCAAAAGTCTTTTAGCGATCGCGGGGGTAACATCGGCAGGTCGCATACCAATCGTTTGATGCTTGCGTGCGTTGTAATCCGATACGAGGCGCGGCAGTATGTCGATCCACTTGTAAGTGCCATTTAGCGTAAACATCTTCCACATATCGTTCTTTAGCGTGCGATTAAATCGCTCGACGACCGACGCTTTCAATACCGAATATGTAGAATAATGATTAATGTCATGTTTTCTTATAAGCCGTTGCACATCGGCGTTGTAAAATTCCTTCCCGTTATCGGTTTGCATGTTTTTCGGGCATCTCTTGCTATCTCAAATTATCTCGGCGATTGAGTCAGCTGTCTCGCTTCCTCCTTTATTCTTGAGTGGTACAGCTCACGCATACTTGCTCAACACATCGATGACGATGAGTATATAGTGGTAACTTCTGTTGAAACGGGAGTACGGACGCATCTCGACAATGTCGGCTTGCCACAGATCATCGTATCCCCGCACTATGACATGTCTTCGAGGGAAATTTTTTCTTGCTGGAGCATGCAACTCGTTTACCAACTGCCGTCTCTCCAAACTATGTTGCTTGTTGTTTTTTTCACTATTCATTTTGGTTTTTTCGCGTTCTTGCCACGTTCTTTCGGGTTAAATTCTCGTTCTTTCAGGTTAGAATCTCGTTCTTTCGCGTTCTTGCCTCGTTCTTTCAGGTAAGATTCTCGTTCTTTTGGATTAGGTTCTCGTTCTTTCGCGTTCTTGTCTCGTTTTTTTAGGTTAGGCTAGCCATTCACTCACGTCCTTGACAGTTTCGAAAATCGTTCCTGACTCGATCGCAGCCTCGTCCCACGTCGTTTCTGACCCGTTCGAAGCCCGCCCTGGCCCGTTCGCAGCCTTTAAGTACTTGTTCGTAGCCTCGTTCGCAACCCTTAGTGAGGTGTGTGTAGCCTCGTTCGCAGCAGCCGATACGCCGTTCACTGCTAGATTTTTCACTGCTCGACTTTTGACTGCCGTTATCAGCGGTCGTATAACTACCGTCGCTGCTCATTGTAGATTAGTAGTACGCTGATAATCCTTCTTAGCTGTTCAACAACTGTTTACAACTATTCCTTCTAACCGTTTGTGTGATAGACGTTTCTGAGCCAACCGTTTATTAGATGTTTGTTTCTGAGGTAGTGTTTGGCGCACGCAGAAGCTCTTTTATCAGTCTCCAACGCTCGTACATCCTTCTCTAACGCAGTCAGCTTTTCATCTGACTCTTTCTGTTGGGTCATCAATCTTTTAATACAGGATTCCACATACAGTTTGTTGGCGGCATCGGTGTCAGCCTCAGGTTGCGCTACACGGCAAATCTTGCGTGATCTTGCGTCATAGTCCGTAACGACGCGACATAGAGCGTTTTCATGCACGTAACTTTTCACCATTCTATTCCAAGGACCGCTTGTGCCGGTTTCATCATTTCTTGGTTCGAATAATCCAAATTTATTGATAGGCATTTTGATGCGAGTGACGCAGATGGACTGATTAGTTTGTCGAGACTTTGTTTAATTTATAATAATGCTCGCTTCCCGAAGTTCCTCGATAATCGACAGGATTTCGTTGTCATGCGCGTTGTTGCCGGCTTGGCGCAAAGCGTCGAGCAATCGTAGGCGATTCACTAGCTCGTTGGGGTCATCCCAGTGCACGTAATCAACTTTATTGTCGGTTAGCGTCATAGCGCGAGGCATTCCTCTGCCAGATTTTGGATAGTCCGATTCAATCCGTGTCAACAGTGCGATTATATATTTGTACTTGTCCCCCTTGCTACTTTTCACACGATCTTTCGCATCAAAATTGCGTTTATGCGCGTTTGTCGCCAATAATATGTGCTTGTATTTTTGCAAATCATCCTCCTGGTAATCAGGTCTTTTTTGAAGATCAACTCGTACAATCCAGGCGTTCCAATGTACCGCGTGTCGCTTATGATTATATTGTTATTTTTGTCAATCGCGAATTGCTTGTTTCCGATGCGCATTTTATTCTCGCCGAAATAGACTCCGTATACATGATCAATCTCTTTCTTTTCATCAGCACCGAGGAGAGCGTCCATGTACTCTTGTCCTAATGGTCCCAAATTTTTTCGCATCATTTGTCGACCTTCCGGCGATCTTAACCAGTGTCAAAAGGGTATTTCGGACAGGTTACGCGTGGTTTCAAAAACATTTTCGTCTACGAGTGTTTTGGGTATCACAGGTTGTGTGAGGGGCGATGGCTCGAGCGGGAGTTCTCGAGCCATAGCTCCGCCCCTCAAACTTCTTGAGAGGGCGCGGCGTGGGGTCGATGTCGCCCTGCGCCGCAACCGCGAGAAACCCGTACAATAACGGGGGAGGGTGTCGCCTTCCGCGGCATCCTCCCAAGGAGGGATAAGGCGGGGGGGCGGCCAGTCGGCATGGGATACCAGCATCCTGGCCGCCCCCTGTATAACGCCCGTGAAGGACATCCTCTGGGGTTTTAGTGCGGTAGGTCCTGTCCCGGCTCTCCGGCTCGCCGATCCCGACTCTCCGGCCCGCTACGGCGGACCGGCCAGGCGGATGTGCGGGCCGGCCAGACGGGGCAGGGAGTCCCACATAACCCCCGCCTCTACCCGGAGGCGGACGGTACCATGAGGTTTCCCCAGAGTCAAAAAAAAAAAAAAAAAAAAAAATCACAGGTTGTGCGCTTTTCGGTGTAAAGGTTATCGGCAGTGAAGCGTCCAATGGCTTCGAAATATCTTGCAGAATATCTCGATGTGCATTTAATCCTTTTCTCTTCTTCGGTATCTCCTTTTTCGTCTCTTCCTCCTCCTCCTCCTCTTCCTCCTCCTCTTCTTTATATTGCTTGATAGTTTTATGTTTTCTCGTTTTTGATGTCTCCCCCTCATACTGCGTCTCGATCTTCACACCGCCGTCGTCAGTGTTAGGCTCGTTTTTCACCCAAACGTTCGTCGCGTTGTCAGCAATCTTTTGTAGCGGTTCGATAATAGATTTAAAGTGAGTCTTGACTGTGATATCGTCATCGATCTGACCGGTTTTAAAGCACGATGTTTTTTGCGGATCGATTCGCTCGTTTTCGCAATCTCCTTTGTTATCTTTTCACGTTCGCGAATATTATTAGCCATGTCAACAGAGTAAGCACTTCCCTAGAGTGAGCGTTTTAACTCTTCTCAGCAGAATACGGGCAACGACTAACTGCTTTGTGGTATTGCAAACACGTTAAATTCTTTTCTATATCGCCCATTCGTAAGCGAGCTATCCTTGTCTATCACTAGAAATCCATACTTTTGTTGCCAACAAGTATGACATAATTTACTGAAATCCTCGTATGACATGTCAATATTCACGTGATCGTTGTATACGTGTTTCAAGTTGGTACCATCCTGTTTAAACA